TTCTTTAACTTGCAAAAACAGATTCTAAACATTTTTTATTGCTTTATCTTTTTAGATTCTGATCGTTCTAAAAAACTTGGTTTTAATGAATATATACAATCAGATCCATGTAAATTTGAGCATCATGATATATTTAAGTATCTACAAACAGCCACATTGGATTTTCAACTTAGTGATCTTAATTGTTCGTTGGTAAGTCTTTCGTTTTCTCTATCCCTTCTGTGAGTCCCAATCATAATGTGAGCTAACGACAAATCAAATGTCCTTAACAGTATAAAAATTCTGAAACGTTTCTAAAGTATGCTAAAGATGTCTTTCATTTATATCAAAATCTGTTTGAAAAAATAATACAATTTTGATCTTTAGCATCAATGTCTTCTTACGTTGAGTGTGTACGTATTTACAGAAAACGCTGCTGCCGTTGCTTTTGATTTAATATTTAAAAAATATATTTTTGTTTTTATATATTGAATTATTTGTCATTGTTTTAAGTATAGGGATGGTTAAGTCCTGGTCAATCTTATGTCTTACAAGGGAACTATCCCAAGTGTTAATCACAGATGCTAACGAGAGGTATCCCAATCGATAGAGCTCGACGAGCTGATTCTAGTGGCATAAAGCATTTTTCCCAATGTTTCTTGAAGACCCAGTTTTCTAGTAAACCAGTTTTTCAGAAACTTTAAAAAATAACCAAAACATTTTTAAATAAGATATAATTGTAGCGCGCACATTTCTGATTAAAATGAGACATTCCTCAGCTCTACATGACGTTCATTTACAAAGTTATCGAATTTACAAGAAAAGCCCTAAATGTTCATTGTCGGCTCAAAGCTACAGAAATGTATGACACAGCTTGCACTCTGAAACTATCTATTGAAAACGTGTGCGGAACAGAACATTTGAAAGATTCTGACAGAAGTCGATTTATCAAAAATATGAAAGTAGCTATTGACAGATTCCACCAAAGAAATCATACTCGTGCAATTTGTAGAAATGGTAAATAATTTGAATTTTTACAATTCATGCAGGTTCATTGGACTGTGAGCTATTTTCTCACTGTTTAGAGATGAATGCAGATAATCCCATACATCAGGGTGTATTCACTGGCATTAATTCTTCATTATGTGAACAAACCTTTTCGTATCTGTCAAAATTCAAAATAATATTCAGATCATACAACTATCCAAAGGTATATACAATGTATTTAATCCTATTCCATTGAAGGAATTGCGATATTTCTGGCATTGCACCTGATTTAGAACATCTGGGGACACACGTCATCTCCAGTTCTATACAAACAATGCAACCGCAAACATAAGAACATTTCAACACATTCTAAAACAATCTTGTTGAAGTGAAACAACTTCAGTCATTTCTTATCTTACTGGTTCAGAACTATATATTCAACTTCTGATATTAACGGTGTTGTAATTTCATCTTTATTCGTTTTTATTCTATTTGTTATTTTTTACTGACCTTTTTAATGTCATTCAGAGCAAATAAAATCAAAAGTCTGGACAATAACAACGCTATCGATATGCATGATGTTACCGAAAGAATCTGAACGATTGTTAACAAAATATCATTTGAAATCTAAGTTTTACGCGATCGGCCAGTGTGTGGCTGATAAAAGGCTTCTTCCTTTAAATTATCACTCATCAGAACGGTTTAGTACCACCATTTTCCATAGCCAAAACAGCACCTATAGCTCAAAAATTATATAATTATATAATAAAACAATATAATTTATTTCAAAGAACGTTTCACTCCATTAGACAGACAATTTGTTACCAGTCACACAAGTCATGTCACACATATCAGAAAAAACACAAATACATAAAATATCTAATATGCCTAAACTACCGAAAAATGACCAGGTAACATATAGCCTCAACCAGCATAAATCCCACAAAACCCTAAGCCGACAAACATCATAAAGTCGAGGTGGATGACTGCTAAGAAATATGTCCTACTTTAACATTTCACATCGCAAACTAAGGAAAGCACTGCAGCAATTGCAAAAGACTATAAATACCTAAAATCCCATAAAAAACATGAATAACATAAAAAACATAAAAACCATGAATAACTACAATAACATAAAGTAGAGGTGGATGCCTGTTGCCAAATGCTTTTTATATGATCCAGAGACATTGTACAGCATAGATGGGCACATGTCATGTAGGCTTAAAACCACCGTGCTGATGACGTTGCTTCAAAAAATTGCGAACAAAACTGGAGTTGCCGCAATTGCAAACGTTTCACGACACCGAAAAATGTCCTGACTTGCGCAGACCTGTGTTGTACAAAATCAGGGAAAAACCAGCTTCGAACAAATACCAGTATATACTTACATTAATGGCACAAAACGTCTGAAGTCCGATATGGATATTAACTGCAGACAAAAGTTGAAATTGTGGTTGTTGATGCTGAATACAGAAGTGGGACCAAGCACATGTGCATCATAATAGAATGGCAACTTATCTTAAGGTCCAAACGTCATGCTGTCTGCGACTCTTTGTCTGCTTTTACTACTTATATTAGCGGCCAAACCAATTATTAAGGCGACTGCAACAAGTTTTGTTGCTGAACGCCTTAAATGAGGTTTGTACGTAACATAAAAGGGTATACAAATGGTTGCAATTCTGTATACTCTTTTAGCATTCGCAATAAACCATTTTCTTTTAGAGAGAGGTACCATATTATAAAAAATGGATACGTTTATGCATGTGATCGCGGTAACAACAGGATACAAAGATATGCATCAAATACGGTCATCGGTGAAACAGTTAGGCAGTCAGAATTCTGGATCCACTCAACTGCATTTTCCATCTAGTGTTTATGCGGATGAAAATCAAAGTCTGTATGTACCGACCATATACAAATATCGTATTCAATACTGGCGACAATATTTGACAAATTGGGCAACAATAGCCGGCGGTCGACGCATGGGTGATGGAACAAATCAAATAGGCGTTAGTTATCCTATGACATTTGACAGCAGCAATTGTAGATTTTATTTGGCAGAATCCCACGCTAATATTTGTTCGCGCTCTCCGTACGTTTTTGCTCGTGTAGAGACGAATGGAATGCAGTGTAAATCAGGACTCTATTTCTTAACAGAAAAAACCAAGTAGGTTTGCAAAATTTGTTAGCACCCCTTAAAGTGCCTTTGCTTATTAATTTTTTGTTGGCTATATGATATTGGATCAGGCTCTAAGTAATATTTCTAGAGTCATTTGCATATGGAAAATCAGGAAAAATAAGTTAGTGAACTTCAAATGGAATAGAACAAAATTTTTTGATATTTTTCTTAGTAGTGCGGATTTTCAAAATTTAAGCTCCTTCTGGTACTTGGTTTAAGCTTTAACCTTGAACCAGAACGATTACATTCTCTTTGGACTATCGATCATGCTTTATCCGTTGAGCATGTGTAGAGACATGTGCCGCATATGTAGCAGTGCATGGAAGCATATGCGAGCAAATCTCTGTGACTTTTTTATATAATAATATCATTACGAAATTAGTTCTGTTTATAAGGTAGCAAATAGCTCATCATAGTTCTTAGCCCTGGTTTTGAACGGTTCATCCGTTAGATTCATAACTGATAAGTAAAAATGTATTTTCAGTGTTATTTAATAAATATTCATTTAGGATATAACAATGTTAACTAAGCCATTATCTGCCGGTAAACGAAGCTTTCTGCATTTTTTTACTGTAACCTTTGAACTAAACATTGTCAGAATGGTTAGCACATTCGACTGTCGCTATGTTATGTCTTTATATGTTTTATGTTATATCCAAAAACCTTTTTTGCTCTGTCCGCATTTTAGAGCATCTTGAATCGTTTATAAAATTAGAATTTTTTTCATTACAAACCGGTTTTCGAAGCAGTTACTAACAATCGTTTATACTACGTGCGTATCTTCAGCGTGGAAGATCAGTTTTTAACCGGGTATTTTCGAGTACGACGAATCATCTTGTTCGTCACATCTTTTGTGCTCTTGTTTTCATATTGATAGTGCGAGTCACTATTTTGCTCCATAAAAAACATCAGAAACAGTATCTAGACTATCAAGTACGGCCTTTCTTTTGACGCCGGAATGAAGTCTTTTCGTTTCTTTCTCACCACCGAGATATAGACAAAATAATACTTGATAACTTCGCCTGTCACAGCGTTACTAAAAGTTTTAGTAAACGACATTCACAGTTTTATTGTAAAAAGTAGTCGATTATAAACTTTTCACGACGATTCCAATTCAGTTCTTTTCCTCCAAGACTTGCATCTGGCGGCAGATAGCGGTAAAACTGTGACAAAAAACATGATTGTTGGTGACTTTTCTAGTTTGTGATTGCCTGCTTGTTTCGATATTACGAACAAGGAAGAACGCTCGCACAGACTTTAAACTCGCTTTGAGTCCTCCCTTGCTCAAAATAGTGATAGAGGTCTTTAATAAATTGCGGCTTTGCTGATTTTCTATTTTTTTTTGTATTCAAAGTAGAGTAAGAAGAGCCACATCGAATAGCGTAAAAACGAACTTTCGAGCTCTTATAGTTGTCGAGAAAACCAGAAATCACTGTGTCAGAAATGTCACAGTATTATCTTTGGATAAACAAGGTGAAAACATTTCGATTTTTTTATATATAGTACGTTATGCTCACTCTGTTTATGACATTCACATGATTTGAAAACAGAAAAATTGTCATCTACTAGTCATCATTCTTTTGCTCACGTAAACGGGCAACAAAGGACACATGTCATTCATACGAAACAGAGATGAAGGAATACACGAGGTCATTTTAAAATACACTCCAGATAGATGTCGTATTTTTTATTTTTATTTGAATATATAGACAATTGGTATGGAAGTGAATATTTGAAGGCATCAAGAAAAATAATAGTTTTGAAACAAATGAATATTGCGATCGATCGTTTTCATCAATCCAACCACAAAAGACATATGTGTAAACCAGAAATGAGAGCAGATGATTCCCGTGGGATGGACGGGGTCGGGACAAAAAAACGCCAATGGGCTTGGGCTCATGGGCTTGGGACAAGAAAAAAATTTCATGGGCTCGGGCTTACGGGGTCGGAACAAGTTGCAGAAAAATGTTGTCCCGTAAGTTTTGTCTTTAGATTGTAATTATATTGCAACTTCAAATATTTAATTCTGGTAATATCGGGTGACCCAGAATAAATGGCCCTCCTCATATTTTGCTTATAATTTTTTTTCTTTTCAATCCTTAGACCTAGTCGTTCATCCAAAAGAAGCGCCGTCAAATTCTCTACAAAATTTGACCAAACTTATTTCTATAAAAAGTTGAGGAGAAAAATGAAACGAAAAATGTTCAACATGACGAAAGAACCAACTTTCTAAGCTATTTTGCTTTACAAATTTTGGAATATTTTAAACAAGACTAAAGACAATGAAACAAAACTGAAGATATTTTTGAGTACTTTAAAGTACGCTCTTTCTCCTTATATAGTTTACAGTTCGTAATCTAAGTGAGCACTGAAAAATCTGACATTCCAAAATTCACCTCAAGATGATCAAAATCTGCTATTGCTCGGCAGGTGAATTTATGAAGAAAGCTTTAAGGTAACTTTCGCAGCTGAATCTGGCACAAGTATCATGTCTCATCAAAATAAAAAAGACCGAGCTAGAAAGGTGCTATTTTGGTGCAGGATTGATTTTGCATTGTGCATCTAATACTGGTTGGTAGAGCTTTCCAATGGCTACAAAATGCGTGTATTCTCTTCTTTTCATCATCCAACTCAATGAAAGTGGTGGAACAAAACGTTATTTCAGCTTAGAAAGTTGGTCCTTTTCATCATATTGAGTATTCTTCGTTTCATTTTTCTCCTTAACTTATTATAGAAATAAGTTTGATCAAGTCTTGTAGAGAATTCGACGGCACATCTTTTGGAAAAACGATCGGGTCTAAGGATTGAAAAGAAAGGAAATTATATGCAAAATACGAGGAGGGTCATTTGTTCTGGGTCAACCAGTACTACCACGTGAAAACCGTAATTTTACAATAACTAATAAAAATTAATCTGGAGTGGCGAAATAATCCGGATTTAAGCTTGAGAAGATGTTCCACATAAAACTAGGTTTACCGTTCTTTCCTTTGGATTCCGAGCTAGTGAGTGGATGTAAAGCATTCGTTTATACTGCAACTTTTAAGTGTAGACCCAAATAAAATAGGCTTGAATTTTGTCATACGGATTTTTTGCAAAACTGAGTTTGAGACTTTAAGCGTCGCTTGTAATAGTTCCGGTTTATCACAGCAGAAAAACTTTTTCAAAAACTTACGGGACAAACGGGACGGGGCAAAAAAGCCTGTAAATTTTTTTCACGGGACAGACGGGTGCGGGACAACATTATTTGCTCACGGGCTCGGGCTTACGGGACGGGACAAAAATTTCTCTGTTCGGATTCGGGCTTACGGGCGCGGGGCAACAGAAAAGTTTGTCCCGCAGGACTCTATCAGCCCGACTATTCTTGTAAATTTTCTTGTCCCAAGCGGGATTTTTTTTCGTGCATCTGTAGTGCTTGCGCTGACTAGGTTGTATGGCTCAAGTTAATATTTATATCATGGGTCTTAAAATAAGACGGATAGAAGCGTCTTAACTTAAGACCCATGTATCAGACTTGCAAATGACAAATAAAAATGGTGATCAGCATTTAAATCCAACGAAGAGGAGTGAATTTTAAAATTTGTTCAATCCTGCCTCTTTTTGCAATTTTCGTGAGAAGTTCTAAAAGCTACACCTATTGTTAGGAGAATAACTTCTGATTTTTATTAATTTTAGCGATGGCTGAACAGATCACCCAGTGTCTGTGGGAATATAAAATGTGGAACTCACCATTCTTCTCCCCCACCAGAAAGAGCTTGTCAACCTAATGATTATGAAAACGGGGCACACGAAGAGATGAAACAAGATGAATATAAACATTATAATGCTCAGTTAAGGATTTTGCACAACCGGCAGTGATTACATGAGGTATTGCTTCCCATGCAAACATCACATGGTTACGATAAAGAACAAACACAATAACAACAAGAAATTATGCCAACAGAACAGGAACAACCACTGTCACTCGATTTAGATTCTGGCACTGTTTGTCCTATAAATCAATTAGAAACAGATCTAATTGATGAATCAGTCCTTTGAGAAAAAGATAAAAAAACTTTGTGAAATTCGCTGTTGTCCTAGAGAAAGAGGAGAACAATCATCAAATTTCAATTCCAGCCCACAAAAATTATGGTATTAATTTTGCCCACTAGATAGGAAAGTTGTGAAACAAGTACCATTCGATAGACCTCTACATGATGAACCGAATACGCATATTGATGTTAAATTTGAGTTTGTTTTCATGAAAATATAAGGATAGAAAAGTGGCTAAAATCGACTTTTTTCAGAAAATCATGTGGGTCTTTCTTAAGGGATAGAAAAAGATTTTCTTTCTGCAAAATGAAGAGTTAACCTTGAGCTACACGTCGCTCACGTCAAAAATATTTTAGCATGCTCGTGAAGCTGAAAATTGTAAGAGGAAGTAAGTTAAAAGTCGTGAAAAATCACGAAAAATTCTCACAGGGACAAGTCTAGGACATGTCTTTTAATTTTGACGTCAGATTTGGAATCAACGCGACGAGTTCTATTTAATCATGTGATTTTCAGACATGGTGTCAAATGTCCGGTATAAAGTTGGTACGAATCTGATGGAATTGCTCTCTAGATTCACACCGGTACTATGATCGTTTGTTTTAGAACTCATAACAAATCATTGTTGTCTAGATTGGATTGATGATAATCATCATAAATATAAGCCATTTCATGACGATATTTTACAACCAATTGTTAAATATTCTGAATTTCGAACATTCACACGCGAGTATGTATTACCATTAATGAATTCCAACACCTCGAATAGAAAATTATTAATTGTAATATCTGATATCCAAAATATTCATATAATTCGTAATGCCATTCATTTTATACCACAAGTTTATTTCATCTGTATTTTATGTTGTTCACACGCTGATAAACAACAATTACAATCATTAAAACTACATTATCTTAAAATTGCTTGTATTTTTTGGAGATCAGACACACTAAATGTACAAATTGTCGCCGAATTAGCTACACAACTGTTGGATGTTGCTGATGATTATGAACAACAAGAAAATATGAGTTTATCAGCAATCATTTCAGATTATTCATTATACTTACTAGCAACTATGAATGAGTCATTACTACAGCGACGTTAAAATAAGGTCGACTCTTATGTATAGTATAGCTAGTAACATGTGAGTGATCACTTGTAAAGACTATCTAAATATATACGTAAGTGTACGGCCTTCATACGAATATATCATCATAACTCGTAGTTTCCTTTTGCACAATTTAGTGCAATGGGAAAATGCGTAGTTGGAGAAGTACAGCGTATGAAAGGTCGGAAGATCGAA